CGCCTTAACCGACGACTTCATCGAATTAGGCAATATTGCACGTATCGTTCTGGTCTGCATTCCATCGGCGTTGAAAGATTTCAGTCTACCCCGCACAGCGGAAGGAATCTCAGCTGAGGTTAAGCCTCGGAGGATCGCGATCTGTGAAGACCGCCTACGTGAAACTAACAAAATGCGGCGACTGCATTTTGTGTACCCCTCATCTTTTCGTTTTTTATATCAGTGTTATGAATCAAATAAATTGAAGGGCACTATTACCTAGTGTTTCTCGGATCCGGAAAGTATATTCCTTCTGACTTCATCTTGAAAGACGTTCAAATAAATCAAGCCAAGTGGTTTTCCTCTCACCATCGGCGCCGTCGTAGGGCAGCATGCAAATCACGCGGTCCGCTATAGGTCAATTTCCCTATGTAAGGCCTTGACAGTATAATACATTGTTCTGCAGAACTTAAAGGCACGGGTCGGATCGAGCTGATGTGTTATTTGTTTGAAAATTAGGCAAGAAGTGCAATGAGGAACATTAGTGAGGAGAAAAAGCAAAAAGCACCATAGAAAACACTAAAATTCCCTTGTGAGGCTGGCCGTGGTATGACGGAGAGACACAGCGCTGCGAGAGAGAGGGGAAACGCGAGAGGGCGCAAACACACGTATGCCGCGATTGATAAGGATGGCAGCACGGCAGCACACAAGGCAAGGCCTTAGCGCCGTTGCCTCGCACTTTTGAGTCGCGACAGTGTCGCGCCTCCTGCGCTTGGGGACCCCTCTTTCTCACTCTAGAAAGGACTGGCTCTTGAGACTCAATGTCGACTCGTGGCTCAAAGGACGAGGTAGATGAAGTAATAAACCTATTGATAGCTCTGTGGACCTTTTAATGGTTCCTGTCATTTGCTTTCTGCATGAACTGCATCAGTTTTTTCTATGTGTGTAAGGTTCATGGAGCTAGTTCCTCGATAATAACACGTCACTGAAAGGTTACTTTCGTCCTTAAAGGCAAGATTCAAGCTTAAACTGATGAGGTAATTC